ATGAGCGGCGCGCCAATTAGTGTGTTCTTTGACAGTTTGAAGGATCTGTTGGCGTGTTTTCTTCTCTTTCTAGCTATATACATTCAGCGTATTGTCTCACTCGTGTTAGGCTCACTTATCATAATGCGCCACATACACAGTATACTTAGATATACTGTGACACAGAGCCGCGATCAGCCAGAGGACAATAATGTACAAAAAAATATAGATTAACATGTATGAAAATAAAAATATTAAAATTAAATTTATATTTTCATGTTATTTATGTAATATTAAAATGATGTGTTTTTATGAAATTTAACTGGGTGTTCACTGCACAAATGAACCAATGGAGAAACCGCCCCTGATTACGGACCATAAACCCTTGGAGCGTATTTTTGGTGAAGATCGTCAAACACCAAAAATAGCAAGTAATCGGTTGTTACGGTGGGCTATGACTCTAAATAGTTACAACTTCGATGTTGCTTATCGTCCAGGAAAAGAAAATTGTCCTGCGGACTCATTATCTAGGCTTCCATTACAAAAACCCACAGAGCATCCGGGGTTACCAGATCACGCAAGATTACTGCACCTAAGAGTACAGAAACTTCCGATGAAAAAGCAAATTTTAAAGACTGAAACTTTGAAGGATCCTAATTTCTGTAAAATTATCCGATATATTCAGTCACATTGGCCCGATAAAAAGAAACTTGATGGAAACCTCATTCCGTTTTATGAAAAACGATCAGAGTTATCATTTGAAGAAGATATATTATGTTGGAAAGGCCGTATCTGCATTCCCACTGCCTTACATCAAGAAGTTTTGGGGATGTTACATGATGGTCATCCAGGTATCACTGCCATGCAGTCATTGGCAAAACTCCACGTCTATTGGCCAAACATTAACGCTGACATAACTCATGAAATAGAACGGTGCAACTCTTGCCAACAATCAAGACAAAATGATCGCAATGCACCACTTCACCCATGGGGTATATCTCCAGAGCCTTGGTCTCGCCTCCATTTAGATTTTGCTGGACCATTCAAGAAGAAGATGTGGATGATTCTAATCGACTCCTACACTCACTGGTTGGAGATTGTGCCAATGGTGGATATTACATCTACAAGTACCATAAAAGCACTTCGTGACATATTCGCTCGTTTTGGATTACCGAAATTCCTCGTTACAGATAATGGACCCCAACTCACTTCAAATGAATTCGAAGAATTTTGTAGTGAACATGGTGTCACTCATGTTAAGGTGACACCATATCACCCGAAATCAAATGGACTTGCCGAGCGTACCGTCCGCACATTCAAGGAGAGGATGCGGGCCAGCGATCAAACTCTAGACCAATATCAAAGACTCCAGAGTTTTTTGTTCTCGTACAGAAACACCATTAGGAGATCGACAAACAGGACACCTAGCCAATTAATGTTTGGACGTCATCTTAGATCACGTTTTGACTTATTAAAGCCTGATGTTACGAAAAATATGGAGTATGAACAGATAATACAAAAGCAAAACCATGATAGCACTGCAGCATCTCAACATTATTTTGTGGAAGGGGAAAGAGTATGGGTAAATCACCCTCTAGAAAAAGGCTCTGTTCCGGGACAAATAGTTAAACAAACCGGACCATTATCTTATATAGTCAATACTGATGGCATTCTTCGTCGTAAACACTCTGACCAGATGCGTAAGCGGATATCAGATGTTTCTCCTGACTTGCAGAAAACACTAAATGATAACGACGCCGAACATACAGGGTTAGATATGTCGCTCCATGAGAATAGTAACGAATTCCAAGACATTGATATTCATCAACCATCAAACAATACTTCATCAAACCAAAGTTACGATGAGGGAAATACAGAATCGCTACAAAAACCAGCTAAAATAGAAGTTGCTCAAGATTCGTTTAAAACCTTGCCAGAAACAAGCTGTTCTACGCCAAGGAGAAACCCGATTAGAGACAGAAAACTTCCATCTCGATTTATGGATTAAATCTTAAATTCGTGGGGGAGGAATGTGGTAACATGGTTACCATATTTTAATGTTACGCCACTGGCACTAGATTCGACACTGAAGTTACAGTAAATGAGAGTAGAGTATCTTGTCTGGGACTACTTTTTACTACGCCAGGTGGCGAGTGTTCTGTGGAGTCCACCGCGTATGAAGAGTAGTCAGTTGGTCTAGCGCGATTGCGTAAGACGGTAGTCAGCTCGGACATACATTGTGTATCTACACACGACATACACACGTGGTTTAAACATACAAACAGTACAGCCGGTCTTCCAGTGCATACATACGAACAATCCTCACATTCATATTTGCGCGAATAAACACTCAATTATATAGTTACATCATTTACTCGTTCCTCGTTCTTAGTTATAATTTGTTAGTTCTTGTTCCAATATTAAAGTGTGTTTTTCACCATAACCTACGTGCTTTACTTACCACTAGCCACCTCATCCTACTACACTCAGCATATAAATTAGGAGTGCGTATAAATAATTACGATTATGATTATGCTAACCTATGTTCCAGATTAGAAATCACAACTTTGCAGAACCGGAGAACTCAATTAGATCTATGCTTCCTATTCAAACTTTTGTCTGGGTCAATATATTCTCCTGACATTTTATTAAAAATTGGTCTTAAAATTAATAGTGCAACCAGAGCTAATGAAACTTTTTTTATTAGACACCATAGACAAAATTACGGCTTTTATAGTCCATCAACACGATTGGCTAGGAGTGCTAACAGTATAGAAATAGACTTGGATTTTTTTGGTTCCTCATATCCTTCATTTAAAAGAAGTATTGCTAACCACTTTCTTAATGACACTTGAAAGTACTGTTATTGTCTGCCTTGTTAATCAAATGTTTTAATCATATGTTTTAATCAAATGTTTTACATGATACAATTTCTGATGTTGTTTTTTATTTTGTATTTGTGCATATAACATATATTTTTATATTTTTTATTGTAAAATGTGGTTTTCCCATAAATAAATAAATAAATAAATAAATAAATAAATAAATAAATAAATAAATAAATAAATAAATAAATAAATAAATAAATAAATAAATAAATAAATAAATAAATAAATAAATAAATAAATAAATAAATAAATAAATAAATAAATAAATAAATAAATAAATAAATAAATAAATAAATAAATAAATAAATAAATAAATAAATAAATAAATAAATAAATAAATAAATAAATAAATAAATAAATAAATAAATAAATAAATAAATAAATAAATAAATAAATAAATAAATAAATAAATAAGTTGTGTGTCAAAATGTATACCGAGAAATTTAGTGTTCATTGTTTCACTAGTAGTTTGGTTCAACCTAAAGAAACATGTTTCAGTTTTATTGTGATTTAAAAATAATTCGTTGCTATCAAACCATTGATAACTATGTTAGATGTGTTATTGCAGTGATATGAGAAATTGGTATCAACTGCATACATGATAGTAATTCGGCATTATTTGAATTCATATATGACGGAAAATCATTGGTATATACTAAAAATAATAGAGGGCCTAGTACGGATCCTTGTGGAACACCTCTTTTCATTAATAAAGGTTTACTTCTGTAATATACACTTTGTTGTCTGTTTTGCAAATAAGCAATCCTCTTATTTGCAATGCCTCTAATGCCATATTTATCTAGTTTGTTGATTAACAGTGTGTGACTTACACAGTTAAAAGCTTTAGACAGATCAGTGAATATAGCTACGTATTGTGATTAGTTTTCTAAAGACTCCTGAATGTTATTCATTAAAGCCATCATGGCATCTGTAGTTCTCCCATATCTAAAACCATATTATCCCGCAGAAAACAGGTTGTTGTTTTCAAAGAAATGCACAATTTGTTTTACTATAACACTTTCAAGAATTTTAGAAAAACATGGTAAAATATGTATTTGGCGAAAATTTTCAGGTACTGAGTCATCTCCTTTTTTGTGGCATGGTAGCACTTTGGACGTTTTATAAATATCTGGAAAGGTACTTTCTGCTATACAACAGTTTATCAATTCAGTAATATGAACAACAATATTTTGGGCGCAGTTTTTTAATAAATATGTATTAATTTCATATCTTGAGTTCTTTTTGATTTAATGTCTTGTATTATATCTATGGTGTCAGATTCAGTAAAAGGAGCTAAGAAAACTGATTGATGTTTTCGGTTATAACAAGTTAAGTCAATTTTATTTTTATTGTTATTGAGGATGCCTTCTACTATATCAGATGAATGATTTACAAAATATTTATTAAAGGTTTCTATATCGATTTCAGATTCTACTTTATTTTTATTAGTACGTCCTGTTTAATTATTTGTTATTTGCCATACAGTTTTAGATTTATTGTCTGAATTATTAATTTGTTGAAGTAAGTTATTTTGTTTTGCATTTTTTAGCAATACATTGTATTTAGTTTTCTCTTGTTTATTAACTTTTTATTGTAGTCGGTTGGTTTGTTTTTATTGACGTCCTGTAAAAATGAGATTAGTTCTTTTTGTCTTTTTATTTCATCTGTATTCATATAACTCAAGTTTTTATTACATTTTCTTTTAGGTTGGGATATATTTGAAATTGAGGCATTAAAATGTTTCATAAATGTATCATGAAGTGCTTCAGCTTTTTTATTTGCATTGGTTTTCTCATGTCATGCCAGGTATGTTATGTGTTCAAAACTTTCCAACCATCCATTCGAAGATTTAAAAATCTACTTTTTCCAAAATGGTTTGCAATTTATCTTTCTGTTTCTCGAAAAATTGTTTCTGATACAGGTAGATTGCGAGACCTTTCATTCATAAACAACTTTTGGATTTGTGTCATCATTATGTTATGTTTAGTTAATAAATTTGGGAGATTTTAAAATAAAAAAATATAGACGAGAAAATTTGCACCAAATTTAAGTTTTCTTTGCTGATATATTTGATATATGATCTTTTTTTGTGTAATTATTTAAAAAGTATGAATTTATTATTAAGCTACTTACTCAGATTCGGGTAGGAATTCCAAATTGGATTCGGATTGATCTTCACATGATACGAATCCTACATCGACATGTTCTATTGCCAAATCACTGCAACAAAAAATATTGCATAGATGAGTGATTCTCTGGCATTTTTACATTTTCAAAAAGCTTGGGAGAAAAAAAAAATGTTTTTTAAATAGATTTGCAACTTGTTTATCTTAAAGGTTGTACTAATGGCTTCTGGTTTCTAGCTGGGTAACTAAATATTTTCTAAAAGTTGTGAGATAAAGTTGGAAGATACCTGTCATGTTGAGAAATTCGTCATTACCGTCCTTTATGTTCTTCTGCATAAAAACGAGTGAAGTCTTTATTATTATGAGATTGTGTGTCATACATATAACTAGTGCATGAACATGTAATGAAAAGGTGTGCAACAAAAGCCAAATACGCTTTCTTTACTCTAATGGTAACTGGAAGAATAAGGAAAAAGTAAAATAATCGAAATTTACAAGTTAATCTTTTTTGTAATTTTGAAAAAACATATGAGATATTATAAATTTCATTACGAATGGTTAGTCACTTATAGTTACTTCATATAAATCCACCAAATCGTATTTTGGGAAAACTATATAGGATATATTTTTCATTTGATGAAGAAGGACGGTAATGACGAAAAGGACAGTAATGACAATTGTGGGACGGTAATGATCAAAAGGTAAGGTAGCGTGTAAGTTGTAAATAAAATATCTGATTTCTTGAACAAATATAAGTATTAAAATGTATCAAAAATATAAATAAACAATAGAACTCCAAAAAATAAAACGAAAATGTTATTTATCTACTTAAAGTATTCCAATAACATTACAAACTAAATGATGCCTTAAAAACAAATATTAGTATTAGTCTTAACAAGGTAACGTTTTTAATAAATCATCAATGCGTGCTTTTTGCACAATACTAAAATGTCTTGCAGAAATTGGTTTTGGGGATATTCTAAAATGCATAAAATTTCATCGGATGCCACAACTTGTATATCAGACTTTTCTGGCCAAAAGAAATGTTGTCCAGCTCGAGCCATGAAAGATATTTTCAAATTATCTTCAATAGTATCTTCTACTATCCCCGGATACCAGTTTGTATCATAAAGCACAGCCACCCAATCACCACATTTTATTTCTGCTGTAGTCTTACTGCAAGCTTGACTACTTTCCTGTAAAAGAAAAAAATATAATTTAAAGTACATACTGTGCTTTTTATAACAAAAAATAATATTGCTACTCAGTTTGTGACTCACCGTTGAAAGTACAGAATCATTAGGAGAATTATCAGATACATTATATGTTATTTCATCTTCAATTTCGTAACTTTTATCTAAACTCATTTCATCATTGTCATCTTTAGGATACGCTACTTCACATAGTTCGTAATGAGAACCCAGCTAGCACAAAAACATCCCATCTACGTTAATAAGCTGCAATTTTAGGCTCTTTAAGCTCGCATGCAATGTACTGTTAATGTAACCCTATCATCCCTGCAACCACCGAATGTCCGCAACGGCAAGACTTTTATAGCACATCTCACAGAAGTTAAAAAGTGAAGTTCGGAAAACATCACACTAGCACTTTTTCGGTACTTACCCTGAAAGTTGCTCTGAAACTTTCTATAGATGTTATAATGTGAATTCATTCTACAGCATTATACAGTGTGTCCACGGATGGACTTAACAATACTTGTAAAAATATTTATTTTAAATTTAAAAGTACTTCTTCATAATTTCTTTTGCTTGTTAAATAAATACGATTAACGTTGAGAAATTATGAAAAAGATCTTTTGAACAATTTAAAATAAATATCTTTACAAATATAGTTATGTCCATCCTTGGATACACTATATTCAAAATAGTATATTGAGGATATAGTAAAATCTGAAGAAAACAAAATAAAAAATTGTATAAATTTATTATTAAAAAGCTTTTGAAATCAAGAACCAATATCATACAAGTATTAATAATATAGGTAAAAAAACACTGACAAATTGGACAAAAGTTGGTATAAAGGGTATATAAGGAATATCTCAAAGGTTCACTAGAATCGAAAACTCTGAACGCTTGCACGAAAGAGTATAATAAGGTACCTATATTGCAAAGGTTCACTGGTAGCTAAAATGGTGCACGATTGTACAAAAGTAGTAAAAAGTGTATTTATATAAGGTATATTTCAAAAGTCACTAGATTTTTATTAAGATGGCAGTTGTAGGATGCTAAAAAAAGATATTTGCCTACAACTGGTACTAATCATAGTTTTAATATGATATAAACTGAATATTGATAAATGTAAAGTCATAAGGTTTAATAAAACAGCTAATATCATTATGCATGATTGTCATTGCAGGTTCTGAACTAAGTTTTGAGCAAACTATAAATGATCTTGATGTTATTTTTGAGAGGGACCTATAAGAGTTTGGAATGCAGATGTCGAGAAGCATTATTTGTTTTCCTGTATAAGTTATTGAACGGTTTGATTGATAGTGACAGCCTGGTACACTTTATTAGATTCCTTGTTCCTGCCAGACTTACTAGGCATATGAAACTATTTTATGTAAATGCTCATAGAACTAACTATGGACAGAATTTATTTGTAGACCAACTGATGTCCAATTACAATAAGTATTTTTCAAATTATGACATTTTAAAAGGTTTATTTTTTAAAGTGTCAACTTTTATTACACTATTGACTTCATTTTTATACTGTGACAATTTTATTAATTTCTTTTTTATTTTATTTTGATATTTTAACCATTTAGAACTTTATATATCAGTAGCGTACTGTAAACAAATAAATATGTGAACTTAATTACATAGTTTCTTCCGTAAAAATAACTTTGTAGATAATAAATTTACTTGTTTAATTATTATTAAGAAAATAATATATGTATATAAAGAAAATAAAAAATATGCTCGTTTAAATCGTTGCACCTATTTTTAGTTGATTTTTACTTACTTTGTTTTTTTAAATAAATAATAACATTTATTTTGACTTTTACAAATTTTATACTTAATAATGGATGTTCAACTTATACAGAACAATGTTTTTTAGCATGATATTCTGCTCTGAAAGAAAAAGAAATAATCTCAGATGTTATATATTCTTCTTCAACCAATTCTGTATTAACTTTAGCTTCTAAAATTCCTGAGATTTTTACTAGAATTATAATCCAGCCCAAAGGAAACCTAAAACACAATATTTTTAAAATTTATTTTAGTGATTAAAATATTATTACACTAGGGCGACCATACTTACAGCAGTCCAGCAATTGGTACTGTGCAGCAAACGTACAGCAAAATGGCATAGGTATATATATCCAGTGAAATGCTGTATTTATCCACCAAAACGTCACTACTGTCCAGCAATGGTAATACTTAATTTACTGAAACGTAACAAATTTAAATGTTATTTATCTTTAGTGAACTACATGAGCACTTCTATACTGCGGTTCTAGCAAGAAAGGTTTTATATGCAAAATTAGCAGTTTTTTTTATGTGCATTTGTCTACATTTTATCTTTCTCGATACTGAAAAGGAATGTCTTATTTGTAACAAAGGTACTAAAATGTTAAAAAGTTACACAAAAAAAGGTTTAAAAGATAATAAATATAAATTTTCAGATAGGACTTCTCTTGTTAGGATGGCAGTATATGACTTCTCTGTTTTTGTATTTTTATAATTGGGAGTAGGGTTGAGTATCGGTCAAAGGTATCAATACCGGTATCATGTGAGATACTTTGTGGTAGAGGCATCGATACTGTTCGATATTATGTTAAAGATATTGATATTTATAAGTCTCGAGTAACAAAGTATCGAAAAAGTAAAAGATTTTTGTTAAACGGCTGGCAACCCCCATTCAACAAAACGGAGTAGGGAACTTAACTAATAACAAGAGTGCATCAGTAAAGTATATTCTGTAGTCGACACCTTTTCTTTCTCTACTGGTACTCTACCTGGTACAAGTTATAGTGTCAATAACTGGCAATTTACCTTATAATTAAATAACAAAAAAACAGTGGTAACGCTTAATCATATTACCAAGTTTCACCACATGCAAAAACTAAAATATTTCAGTACAAATATTTGAACAAACCTTATAATCTCTGACCACACACATAGCGATACAATACTTGCTTCTAAGTATCACTATGGCGATAGTATTGGTAATTCAGTAATTCAGTGCCTAAATATCGATACTTTCATTGTTTAATATCGTTACTTCTATAGTATTAAGCCATCAATAAGATCCCTATTATCGTGTAAAATAAATATTTCATCATTTAATTGTATCTACTTGTTTACAATGATTTATTTTTGATTGTATTTGGAAATTGAAATTTTGCCATCTAAAACAACAAACAATAAATTAGAAAATTAGAAAATTTATTGAAAAGAAGAAAACAACTTACCAAACTTATTCAAACGTATAGTTTCCAATTTCTTTAAAATCTGAAATACGTACAAGAAAAAGTGACAAGTGACATTTTTTTATGTTTTGTTGGTTATGACAAACGAATGGCTACGTTCGAAAGTCCATAGTACTTCTCGTGGAAACTTTTTTAGCAAGTTACTTAATTACGTTGTGTTATCATAACAGGCAGGTTAAATACGTAAGTAACAAATAGATGTTTCGCGAGGTTTTGATTTCCCTCAACAACTTCTCATTAACGTTGCAATTACGTTGTATGGGTATGTTATTATGTTCCCTTAAAACAACATCGCCGAAAGGCTTGGTAACGTTATGTGCTAGCTGGGAACAATCTTCACAAATACAACTGAGGTATTTAAATTTAAGTTTCTGGGGATTGTCAGATTTCCATAACGCTTGATGTATTTGCATTGTTCCTTTAATAGATTTTAATGATAATGGAGCTACATCTTGGAATTTTCTAAATTCATTTTCGTCTATCAAAAAAAGTTTTATTTTTGATTGTGAATTTGTAGTATGAAGAACATTGACAAAGTCTTTTGTGCACATTATGTCGTGGCCGTGAGAAACTGCCAAATCGGCCATCTTCTTTAATGATCCTCCAACTCTTTCCATGCCCTGCCTCTGAGAAATTCCATGTTAGTGTCTTAAAACCACGCATTTTTCCAAAATAAGTTATTAGAAAGAAATTTATTTTATTTCGATATTGAGAGGTAGGACCATCACTAATAAAATGAATGGTATCAAGTCCAGAGATCAATTTTGTAGCTAACTCTAGTGCTGGTTGTAAATGGGCCCAAATTGCATAAGGTTCGTGGCAGAGTTGATCCGAAACAGAGGTAAAGGATTGGTGGTGCAATTCTTCACCAATTTTAAAATATATGACACCAGTGTGCAGACTAAGTTGGGGTTTTGATGCTCCAAAGTGTACACTCTGTATTTCGTTTGAGTATTTACATCCATATTTCTCTGAAAAATCGATGTTTATGATTGCTGTACGTGATGAAATGATTTGCCGCAATTGCTTTATTTTTAGAAAGTGATGTTGGATATTGTATTCATGGATTAAAAATTTTGGAAGTAAGTCATTTAGTTTTTCAACTAAATCTTTAACCGAACAAGAAATTCTTTCCTTGGCTGTAATTCTTACTTTTATTTCTTTTCCATTTTTATCTTTTCTTTCTTCAACCTTACTTTTCCACTCATAATAAAAAGTAATGCGAGCTGACAGTTCTTCATTAGCTAAATGACATTGTTTGATCTTACATGATTGACATTCGCGATACATGCATTGGGTCCTATGATTGAACGTTTACGTTATCCGTAACGTACATGTTAGGCTCAGTTTTAACAGTAATTAGGCAAGTTCGTATGATGAAAAACGGTTTCCAACACATTACTGTTATTTTCCGCCTGTTATGTTCTAATTTAACAGTTTTCCATCGTACAAACTTGCTTCGTTACTGTTAAAATTCGACCTAACATGTACGTTATGGATAACATAAACGTTCAATCATAGGACCCAATGTTTGTCCTTATAATTGCAAACTAATTCTCTAATAACTTCCAAGGGTATCTTACTCCTTACAATCTTAAAGTAATGTAGCTTTTGCAAAATAAATTTAAAGTTTTCATGTTTGACACATAAGCATGTATCTCTGTTAGACACTCTTGGTTTTAGAACATAAAATGGACGCAATCTACAGAAAGTGCTAAAAGATATTTTTGAATTAAACTGATCGATATACTTTTTGTATAGGATTTTTAGTGTTGAAGTGAGGTACCTCTTTTGTTTTGTAATTTTTCTCTTGGTAATTGTGTCAAGTTTGCCAGGGGCTGGGATAGTATTTTCATCTTCAAGAAAAAAGTTCTCAATTTGTCGCCTCAAACTAATCATTTGTTGGGTTCGAATCTGCCTTTTTTTAACATGTTTAATTTGAGATTTAACGTGTTTCTTAAAAATGTGACGAGACACAATAGACGCTGCTTCAGATTGAACATGATATTTTTTATAAATAGGAGATGAGATACAAGCTCCCAATATATTTTTTTCCACTTCATTGGAATATTTCGCCTTTGTCTTGATTTCTTTTACCAAACATTCACCAAAGAGTAATTTCTTTTTTATTTCATTAGTTGGTTGTCTTAGAATTGTTTTTACCTTAGTATCAGGTGTAGGGGAACCTAATTGTTTGCATTTTTTCTTCAATAACCTATTATACCGTTTTTTGTAACGCTCAGCGCATTGCCTTGAAGTTTTCAAAGATTTTTGTAAGTCTAAAATCGTTTTTTTCTGTTCCCTATAAGTCTTAGTCGAGGTCCTTTTGCTCTTATTATTAGCTACTTCTGGCAGAGGTGATGTTGATGGGCTTGAGGGTGGAGTTTGTTCGTCCATAAATTTTTCTAACTTAGTGTGTTGTTTTTTCTTTATTCTATATGCCCTGGAATTTTCTGCTCATTTTTTTCTTTGTCGTTTCTTTTCTCGTGTATTCTTTGTTAACTTTCCTTCTTCTTTCCTTTTTCTATTTCTTTCTTTCTCTCTATCTGTGTATTTTTTATACGCTTCTATGTTTTGTCTCCTTTTTTCCCTCTGCCTCCTCTTCTTTTCTCGTGCTTTTTTCCGTTGTTCTTCATTATTTACCTTGTCCTTTTTCTTTTTTTCTTGTACTTTTTTGGCGCAATTCTTATCAACACGTGTGGTGGCGCTAGTAGATTGGCTCTCTTTAGCAGTACATGGCCCTACTTTTATTTTAAAAGCATTTTTCTTTGGCAAAACCGATGGTAGAACCTCCCTACTGTTACTATTATCTTGGAACGGTCCTTCCTTTGATATCAACTCCTTGGTTTCTACTTTTTTTTTATGGTATCTTTCTCTTTGTACTTTTTTCTTCAATTCATATTTTTGTTTTTTAGTTAACTCCCTTTTTTTCTGAGCTTCTTCTTTCATATTTTTCAATTTTGATTTTAGTTTGTTTAGCTAATCATCATCCATTATGCCCTAAAAAGTCATAGAAAATTATCATGCGATCATTACCGTCCCTTTGAATCATTACCGTCCCTAGGCAAAAAAATCTTCCAAAGGGAAGGTAATGACGGAGACGGTAATGACGTTTCAACATGTTATTTCGCGCCAATTAAAATGAGGTTATGTTCTGGCATTTATAAGGTATTTGGACTATTTTTACCATCTTATACAAATTGGTAAACCGGTTTAATCTAACTAAACTTTGATTTAGGAATAGGGACGGTAATTATACAAAAATGAAAAATTGTGGTTTTCTTACCTTTCTTAGATGCTCACTGCACAACAACAACGCACGTGTATACACTTCGACTGTCAATGATCAACTAAAAAGCGATCAAATGCATCTTAAAAACATGTTAAATTCTGGCGGGACGCGATCTGGTGGCTGACAGTCGTATTAGAAGAAGACGGGACGGTAATGATGTGCAAAAATCTGGACACACTTTTAATATTTAATAGCCAATTACTATCGTAAGATGATAACAAATTTCGACATTTAATACAATGTTCATACTACTTACAAGATTAAAGAAGCAAAAAATCATATATGAAAAATGTTTAATGTCATAATATTGCAGAAAATAACAATGAATAAGTAGGTAGGGACAGGGGACGGTAATGACGTTTGGCCTATTCTTCTTTATATTAGGACCATTTTTTATGCAAGGATCGTCATATATTCATCGAACCTCATTTGGAAAGATGGTATAGTTTAAATTAATAAATTATTTTTAATGATAACTTGTAATTTGAAATAATAGCTCGCCCGGGACTTGAAATGCAAAAATGCCAGAGAACACTCAGATACAAAACTAGCAAGGTTAAATTTTAAAAGAATTGTTTGTTGTGAAAATTGAAAACAATGACAAGTTTTGAATGATTTGGGTCTGATATAAGGCTTTGGATTTCATGAAATGAGGAAAACAGTTTTCATTTTCAATTTTTTTAGTTGATCTAGATGGATTTTTTTCACATATAAAAATATATTTTTATTTCTTACCTTTTAGGTTCATAATCGTCGTGCAAATCAGCACTCGTGGATGGTTCAGCAGCAGCTGCACGTAATTTTGCTAATCTGAAATAGACTATTTATATTAATAGTGGAATAAAATCGCTCCTGAAATTCGCTTTTTTCTAAGGGTGGGTGATTCGGATGTTTAACCAAATAAAATCTGTACCGTCTTGTAGAGGACACTCTGGGGTATGGGAAATGGGAATGTACAACTTTTTTTAGTAGGACCGAACTTTGAAAATAACCCTTAAACGTGGTCGAGCTCAAATTACAAAAACTACATTTTTTTAACATTAACCGTCGTATTAATTCCAGTAAGCAATCTAAAACTCTGATTTTTTGCTGACTTATACTTGAAATGTGAGCGCTTCTAATGGCAATTCAGAAAATTCAAAAATGATTAGTTTTTTTTTTTAAATTTAGGAATATAAAATTATCAACGAGCTATGTGAATTATTGAAAATTTCTATACATATATATCGAGTCAAATGTAGTCAAAACATAAACAAAGTTTTTTTTTTTAAATAGGCCGCTAACTTTAACGATTATAGAAATATGATTTTTTATCAAAAAGCCTTCAAATGCGCGCTAAATCCAAACCCAACAGAAATCATACGTGCGCTTTGCAGCCTACTAAATTACTTAGTGAACAAACATTTCTCATCTCGGAGAGGTGTATTTCCTGATATCGTGTCTTTGTTAAGGCATATTGAAACAGAATGATGCAATCCATTTAATTTATCTGATATTCCTTCTTTTCTAATAAATATGATGTGACGAATAAACTAAATTTTATTTTTAATTAATTTTAAAAATGTATATTTCAATTAATTCCCGCCTGAGGACATGTAGAAGATCTCCCCCCCCCCCCCCCCCGTATTTCTGTTTCCCAGGAATTACCGTTTTTCAGCAATTGCGAGTACCCTCGTAGGTTAAAATATTTCTATATTTGCCGAAATCCGAATGGGCATTTGTAGAGTCGATTTCGTATCAATTATCTACTTGTATTTGTCAAGGTACTAGTAGGACATTTTTTTATTTTTAAATTGTAAACAGTTGGCTGTAGTGGTGGTACCCCACTCCGGATTACCGGTCTTCAAGCTTGCCTAGGGAAAAAGCATAAATTAGATTACAACTGATAATTGTTCTTTTGATTTCCGGCCACCGTGGGCTGTCCGCTCTTCTCTCTTCTGTTACCGACGAGTGACGAATACAGGTAGTGACCGTGTTATTGATAGCCTGCTGAACAACCCCGTTTATTTTTCTAAGGTAGGAAACCGAATATTGTTTTTTTTTATACAATTAGTTTGGGACACGCGTCCGATAAGTGAAAGAATTTTGATTCATGCCCAGTATTTTTCATGTAAGTTTCTTTTCTTTTATTTATTCATTCAATTATATTTGAATCATTCCGTTTCTTGTCAACATAATTACTTCACACACCGTTTTGATCGGATTTGGCAAATCTCAAAATAATCTTTTCTATAACCATCGCCTTCGTTGTCCAAACATCACCGTAAATCATATCATTCTCGTTCGACGAAATTGCCAGCGTCGAACGGTCGGAACTAAGATACAAGGGGGTTCCGAAAACTTTATTCAAATTTATAGAAGGTTTTGCCTTTACTGAACTTACATTGTAGATGGGTTAACTGTAGTCATAGTAAACTTCATTTTTCTTTTATAGGGAGTATCGTGTTTTCTTTTATTTTTTTTTTAACTTCTTAGTTGGTCAACTTTTTGGTTAAAAATTAATTACTCCGTTCTAATTAATTACCGTTTTTTTATTATTTTGACCAGAATATTTAATTTAATTTTGTGTATTTGGGAAATATTTTTTCTATATACCGTATTGTACATAATTTCCGATTTAAATATTTTTCCCATACTATACTCTGTTTTTAAACTAAGAGGAGCGATTTGAAAAGTCCTATTTACACAGGGAAAAATAACTAAAAAGTAACTAGATATCATTTTAGCGGTAAATTTGAATTTGTCTTATTTCAAGAAAAACATTTCAAAACTTTGTTATGAATACATTGAAGTCAACGTTTTAGATAACCAACGAATAAAGATGATACTAAATTGTGCTCATTCCGTTTTTTATTTATAATTATTATACTTTTATTTTTTCGTTACTTTGTCTCATATCGCAGCTCGCACCTGTATGATGCGGAGAATCACCCAAGCAAAGCAGCGAATAAATGTCAGTAAAATGTCGACTAAAGGTGCGTTTAGTCAGCCTGATTTAGTTTTAAGCATTAACATAGACATTAACATAAAAGTTAATTTCAATACATTTCAGTGTACCTGTTTATACAGAATAACATAAGCATAAACATTAACATAAATTTAGTGAAGATAAATAAAATCCAACTTAATGCTTAAATTTATGTCGAAAATACAATTGCGCATGTGCGTTCAAAAAGTGAGGTTAAGTTATTTTTCTAACTTTTAAATTTTGAACTTCTAAACTCTTTTTCTGCACTTTTATTAATAGTAATTGTGAGATAGTTAGCAGAGCAATTTCAGAAGCAGCTCCCATATGCCTTTTTTCCATTTTGTATGATTTGTCAAATCTTATGTTAATGCTTAAATTTTCTGTATAAACGGTTTTGTTTTAAAATCCTTAACTTAATGTTTATGTTAATGTCTATGTTAATGCTTAAAACTAAATCAGGCTGACTAAACGCACCTTAACAAAATATAAAACATTTGTTTACATTTTGAGTTTAACATAGAGTTTTAATTCGATATTTTATTCATTGTTTTATAAGTAACTGTGATTAGAAAATTATATACATTTTATAATAACAGAAAAAAAAGGAATTAGTGGGTATTTCAATTTGATGGAAAAATTAGATAAATAGGAATGCCAGTTCTATTTGTTGAAATGCTTTAAACACCTATTATTACCTACCTACCTACCCACGGTATTATACGCCGACACTCGAACGGCGGGTATAACTATTGAAATGTTATAAAGAGTTTCTAGACACTTGGAAACACACTATGCATAACAATTTTGGGTCCGCTAACACTTATTTAAAAAAAAATTTTTACCTTAAAATCCTTAAAATTTGTTGTTGGGTCTCCATCATAAAACAAATGTGAAATAAACCATTTTCACTGATTTCTTGTTGTAGAAACGGATAATATCAATATAAGACCATTCATAGAGCAATAAACCGTACCAAATTTTTTCATAAACGATCAAATTTTCTTATTTTTCATTTTAAGTTTGTTAGAAAAATAAATAAACATTAAATTATTTTTAATGACAATTGATGTGTCCAGTTTCTATAAATGCGGTGTTGCCAAATCGAGTAAGAAAACATATAAGTCAGGAAATAATTCGGTTAGTGACAGTTGGCTGAAAAATTACATAGTGTCTGGCCAGCAGGTAAATTTGGATCTCAAAGTGAAAACATTTGTAGTAATCACAGATAACCGTCTTTTTATTTCATGATGATTGTACGTTAATTACGGCCGACATGCCGTAATTAACGTACAATCATACTTACCTAATATTAAAAAAAAAAAAAATTAAATTTGAGCTGTATCCAGGCCGTTGGAGTTTATGCCGGTCGGCGTAGCCAGGTATGGTTTAAAAATTTTCTGGTGGCGGCGAAGCCGCCACCTTACAAGAAGTCGTTCTTTCATTTTCTTATTATAAGATGCTCACGATACAAGACACGTTCGTTAAAAGTTGGGATCGAGGTTCACTGGCCAGACGCTAATGAGAGTTGGTAAGGTAAGGTTAGGTTTTTTTTTCAATTTGAGCTGTGTCCAGGCTGTTGGAGTTTATGCCGGTAGGCGTAGCCAGGTATGGATTAAAAATTTTCTGGTGGCGGCGAAGCCGCCACCTTACCAGAAGTCCTTTCTTCCTTTTCTTATTGTATATTTTCTTATTATTAGATGCCCACGATACAAAACACGTTCGTTTAAAGTTGGGATTGAGGTTCACTGGCTAGACGCTAATAAGGGTTAGTTAGGTTAGGTTTTTTTTTCAATTTGAGCTGTGTCCAGGCCGTTGGAGTTTATGCCGGTAGGCGTAGCCAGGTATGGTTTAAAAGTTTTCTGGTGGCGGCGAAGCCGCCACCTTACCAGAAGTCCTTTCTTCTTTTTCTTATTGTATATTTTCTTATTATTAGATGCCCACGATACAAAACACGTTCGTTTAAAGTTGGGATCGAGGTTCACTGGCTAGACGCTAATAAGGGTTGCTTAGGTTAGGTTTTTTTTTTTTTCAAATTGAGCTGTGTCTAGGCCGTTGGAGTTTATGCCGGTAGGCGTAGCCAGGTATGGTTTAAAAATTTTCTGGTGGCGGCGAAGCCGCCACCTTACCAGAAGTCCTTTCTTCCTTTTCTTATTGTATATTTTCTTATTATTAGATGCCCACGATACAAAACACGTTCGTTTAAAGTTGGGATCGAGGTTTACTGGCTAGACGCTAATAAGGGTTAGTTAGGTTAGGTTTTTTTTTTCGATTTGAGCTGTGTCCAGGCCGTTGGAGTTTATGCCGGTAGGTGTAGCCAGGTATGGTTTAAAATTTTTTGGTGTCGGCAAAGTTGTTGATTTATTTTCTTATTGTATATTGTTAGTTTAGGTTAGTTAAGTTTTTTTTTTTAGTTTTAATTTGAACATTAGGAAAATAATTATATTTTCTTTAATATATTTTACATTTATATTTAACCAAACAAACGTTTTTTTTTAATGTTTTCGAACGAATATTGTTAGATAAGACCGTTGTCTGTATAAATTAAAGAATAAAGTCCATTAGATATAAGATGAATTTTCGTGTTATGACAATGACATTGATGTATTTTGATTTACCGCCAATATTGAGCTTGCTTGAGTGTACGTCAAGAAGGGTTAGATATTGTAGATATTTATACATATTGATTTTGCTCTTTTGTATTGATTTTTTTTGGTATTTGATTTAAAATGGCAAATAACGTTACAATTGTGGACATTTTTGAAGCGTGCAGAAATAATGATAATCTGCACGCTTTTTTGTTGAAATACAAACTTGTACCTGTTGAAGGAGAATACTTGTATCG